CCGCGGGCATGGCGGTGCCAGGACAGCGCCCCGCGGCCGGATCCGTGTGGGGCTGGCAGAGCTGCCAGGTGGGGTTGGCCGCCTTCCCTCTCTTCTCCTCAGAAAGCGGCCGTGCTCTGGAGCCGCAAGCCGTGACGCCGCTGGGAACAAACCACCCCTGAATCTCTTCTTGCAATCCCAACAAAGTGTCGTATTCCGGCTGGCCTGGTCCTTAGCGGGAGCTTTGGGTAAATATTTGCAAGCTCAGGGGTTGAGGGAGCTCCAGCCAAACCGATCCTGGCGCCTCATTGAAAATTACGTCAAGGTTTGCTTTAGAAAACTAATTATTGCACTTGGCCTTGCTTTTCATGAAGTTACAACGATTTAAAAAGCATAAATGACTGAAGAGATACAGGAAAGCTTTTCCTCTCTGCCTAATCCATCAATAGTTAACTTTTTTAAAAGTCTGGAGGTAGAAGTTAATGAAACACAGAGCTCCCATGAGACTGCCCTGCTCCACGGGTTAAACACATCATTGCAGCACGGGAAGGGGCCTCTCACACATCATTTGCTGGAGCAGCTCTGCGAGCCCTCCGGGCATACGCTGCGGCAGATTTAACTACACTTAAATCCTCGTGGAAATTAGATTATACTAAATCCTGTGCGGAGAACGACCAGATCATGACTCTGTAGCCTCACAAACGGTACACGTAACGGACCAGTTAAAACACAGCTGGAAAAGTGTGATCCTGTGGAAGATGGGCATCTTGGTGATGTTTTAAGGGTTAATTCCGAGTCAATCTTACACGACCACAGCGAAGTTCCCACCAGGGTTTGCCAGGAGGGTTTATTAGTATAGGTAAGTGCTTTAGCTGCTGGTGAGATGCACATTCCCCTGGTCCTTTGCTGTAGCATGAAAAGATGTATCAAAATAAAACGGTACTAGAGAAAGGACTTACACTTTGTATAGATAACTTTATGCCCACAATCACCCCACAACCAGGACACGGTATTTACCTCAGACCTAATCTTAGATGGGAATTTATCACAAGACATCTCTAACAGTAACACTTCCCCTATTAGCAAAACAGCAAATGCCAACTTCTTGTGCATGTTTACAGCATTTATCAGCTGGACACCAGCTCTGAACCGAAATAAAATGAAATATGATGCAATTGGTGGTAGGCTCCTTGTGAAATCAACCTTAAATTTTCATTGTTCAAAGTGTCTCGAAAACAGAAGCCCCAGGGTTTCTTGACCAGCAAGGTGTGATAATTAAAAGATGCTAACTGCAGTCGTTACGCATAGCCAGAAAAAGTAAAAACGCAGCACCGAGCTCCAGTTCCACATCAGGCCCTTCAGCCAGCCAGTCTCCATCTACCGGCACAAGTCAGTAACATCCCTTTCAGGTGCTTATTTCTTACAGAGAGGAAAACAAACAACACACACACACCCCCACAGACAATATAACTTGGGACACCTCAAAGTCCAATTTAAAACTGTTGCCCTAAATCTACTCTCTTTCCCTTGCGTCTAAAGCTAGTAACAGCTGCAGGCACCTTTATTTACACACCGAAGGTGCCCAAGTTTCATTTACAGTTACATAAAATATGTATTTCAGTGTATGAAAAATCTGGATGGCACTAGTTTTTAGCGTCATCTCTCAAACACGGGGGACCTTTTATCTCCTTTAACAAGCTGCCTGTAGCTAAGTACTAGACCTGGCCTTAACACATGGTGGCAGGAAAAAAATAAACGCAAATCTGTGGTTAAATTAGAATCACGAGAGACCCTTGGCAGGATGTGGAAGAGCAAAGCTCAAGCCTGAGTGAACTTTTATGGAAACATTCAACGCATCAGCTGGATGATCCAGGAGAGAAAGAAATCACTTGGCTACTTTGAGCTATTGGAAGAAGTAAGCACTGGTTTATTCTGTTTTGGTACGCAAGCCCTGATCCTGGCAACATCATCAACAAGTGATTCTAGGAGCCTTGCCAAGGAGGAAGGTAGTCATTCCTGCCGGCCTGGCCAACCTTAGGTCCCCAGCATCCCACTCACAGACGCCTGTGAAGCAGGGAGTTCTCCAGTAACCTGTGTGAAATGGGCAAACCCATAGTAAGAGATCTGCGTGAAAACCACATCTTGGGGGGCTGAGAAACAGCTAGAGCTCCCCAGAGCACAGCACGACAAGGAGAGATCATCTTAGACCGGACCACACTCCAGCAAGGCTGTTGCCACACTTGCTGAACAGTATCAGGTCCTCTGGATTCCTTTCTTCACCTTTAAAAAAGGCTTCTTTAGTATTTTAGAAGTGTAGAGCGCTGTGCACGCGCCCTACGTAGGAATGGGTGTGGAGAGACACGGGTATGGAGCGACAGGGCTAGAGACCACTGTCTGCAAACAGTCCTGAGACAACGCGGCTCTGCCCAGGTAAAGGTTTTGACTGTCTGCAGCAGTCACTGGAGCTGGTCATTACCACTGGTGACACATACGGAAAAAAGATTAAGAAGAACCTGAGACAGCAGAATTATTATAACCCTCCCAGAGGCCAAGAAGCGACCATATAAACACCAATGAAAATAAGAACTATAGTGATATTTATCATCCTGGAAACATATTAATATAAAACATATATTAAAAAAAGCCTCCTGGTTCATGAAACAGCTTTTGTTTTTCTGAAAGCCGATTGTCACACTGAAGCGATATTACAAACAATTCCACACCAATCAGAAACAACCTGCCTACAGCACGGTTTAAAAAAATAATAATAAAAGAAATAAAAGTTGGCAGACTGACCTCTGCTTTGGATTTTTGCTCAAGTATGAAGATGTTTTCAAGGAGGCATAAAGAACAGAGATCAACAGGTTCTCAGAAGAGAAGCCAGATGTTTTTGAGAAGGCAAGAGATACGTTACAGGGGAGGCAGCAGAACAGAACGGCAAAATCTACTCAATCAGTCTCCTTATAAATCTCATAAAGACAAAATCTGGGGACTAGTACCTCCAAAAATAGGCCCAACATAAAGAGATCGGTCCCTAGAGTTACTCACTTGAAATTAAATCATTATTTGAACGAATAAGGGAAGAGCAATTTCAAAGCAGAGTCTGCCTTGCTGACAAACAGTGAGCACAAAACGGATCAGCTTCACAGTGCTCCGATTTTACCCTACGGTGCTCTCAGTGATAATATGCGAGTTTTAAAATCAGTCTGACAATAAAATACAGTAAAAACAGTTTTATGTATGACATGACATCCAGCATACTGAACAACATTCCAGCAGCTCTTATTGTAAGATACAAGAACATAGCAGGCCAGAAGAAAAATCAGTTGCTGACTGCATGCACTTAATTATCTGTGTGGATAAGCGACAGCAGACCCAGAATACGCTGAGGTGAAAGGCAAAGCTGCCCATGCCGAATGATGTTTGTCGCCCTGAAGTGCTACTTCACTAAAGGGCAGCATAAATCTAGTGTTGTAGCCCCATCTTCCTGCTCATCTTTTACAGTGCCTGTCGGCAGTCAGGACAGTTCTCCAGCCCCAACAATCCTTCCCACCCCATCTCAAGTCACGGGCAGTTTGTTCACCTCAACCCCACTGAAAAAGTAAATCTTAGGTCTTTACAAGACGCTGTCCTGGCCGGCAATGTCCATAGGTGTCAGACGTCCTCAGTCATTCCTCCCAGTCTTCCATTGCCCACTCGGGCATCTTGGAGCAATACTCAAACTCCGCTCCCTTATAGCGCAAGGCATGTAGGTACATCACCAGCTCCTTGGGAGATGGGTCCCGCCTTGTAATTTTACACTCCACGCATAAAGGGTCCTTCTCTTCTGAACTCTTTTCTCCCGTTTGCCCGTCCTGAATCTCACACGAATCGAGTTCTTTATTTTTTTCAAGCGTTTCCAGGTTGGTATCCGAGTTCAGTGGACAAGCTGCTGTGTCATTTCTCTCAGGATCCTTAGTGTCCTTGGCAGGGCCGGAGTTCTCATTTATAGGATCAGCCTGCGCAGACTTTGTGCAGTCACTTGAATTACCACAGTCTTTATTTTCAGCACTGGAGTTCAAGTCCTCCTCCAAAATACCCAAAATATCCAGGCTTTGTTTGGAACGATGCTCCTCTACTAGCGCCTTAAGGAGTTCTTCATCCGTTTTATCGATCTTGCCACCTTTCCCCCTGTCAGGGCCCCAGGCTTCCATATTATAGATGGGGTCGTTGACAATAGGATGCCCCAAATACTGCAAATGGACCCGGATCTGGTGCGTGCGGCCAGTACGCGGAAGACACTTGACTACGCTGGTCTTGCCATTGTAACTGAGTCTCTGGAAGATGGTTTTGCAGGATTTCCCTTTGGGGTCCACGCGGCACACTCCCACTTTGTAAGAAACAACCAGTATGGGCTCTTCACACA